AGAAAAATTTTGGAGCTTCACAGTGTCATAACAATTCATGTCACCATGTCCAGTCATACTCAGTATGACAACCAGCTTCTTGACAATAGCCTTGCAGCATAGTTTTTATTGCAAAAGACTGTTATGTCCAGAGCACTTAACTCCTCCCTGCGGGTTTTCCGTAAACCAGTTAGTGTAAAAGGACGATGGTTGTCCAGCCATCATTTCAATATTCTGATCACACAGAAACTCATGGGTGCTACATCTGTTTACTTAACTGGTATGTCTTCATATGGAATAGCATGATTATTTTCATTTACCAGTTGCTTGATGTATGCAATGTTTGAATGGTTATGGTACAACCTGTTGAAGGTCCTTTTTTTTTTGATGGTCCTGTTGCCCTAAGTTGATCCATATTCATTCTTTTTCTTGTACCATTACGTACAAGGAATAGCCCTATCTTGAAAATTCTAAATCCTCAATCTGAACACAGCTTTATGATCTGAGTGTATGAATTTCTTTTGTCAGAAAGGGCTGTTATATACCTTTCTCAAAAGTAATCACTAACTATGAAATGCCATACAGTGTCAAAATGTAGTTTTGATACATGCCTTTTCAGTGTGATTTTATATCAGTTCTGGTTGTCACATAATTTGCTGATATGTGCACTCAAATGTTTTTTTTAATACGACATACTTAACCCTTTGTGTTTGGGCCTTCAAAGCTATATCTGCATATCCATCTTTGAGAAAAAGTAAAATCTTAATGTTTTTTAAGAAAATAATACATTTAGAAAGAGACTTTTGTTTTTGTTAAATTTAAATGTAACAATGAAATATTTTTTTAAGTTCAACATCCTGTGCTTCCAGGCTATAAATGTTAAACTGACCCCATAATGAAAAGCCCAATAAAAACCAAATATAAAATATTAATTTGATTTCAAAATTCAAATGTATTTCAATATGAAATACAATTTCAATGTCTCATTCTTTCAAAGTTCTATTGAAATTACTTAAAATATATAACAGTGTTTGTTAGAATAGTTTGTTTTATAAATATTTGGTAGCTATATAAAATTTTTCATAACATCTGGTTGTTTAATTGAATGAATGTATGTTTTGCTAATGTTTATCCATAATTAATTAACCCTATCACCCAGGGTATCTTTTACTGCGCATGACACAAGGTTTTAGTGTCTTACATTCAAAATTTTATTAAACTACTTTTTTGTTTATGTTATACCAATTAGAATAGCATAAAATCTTAGCTAATAATCCATATTTTAATAGAATATAAGTTTTAAGTTCTTAATTCTACAAGGCAATATTAAAAACAATCCTGAATTTCCACTTGTGTGACCCACGTGACACATTTTCTCCTAGCATGTCATCATCACTATTTTATCCACCACCCCTTCAAAAAAGTATGAATTTAAGCATAAATATTATCTATAAAATCGTTATTGCTCAGACAAACCATAATTTTTATAACCTTCAATTTTGTATGGTTACAGAGCTATCAAATAGAAAATCAGACCCACACTGCCACATCCTCTCTTTCACAATTTTGTTGATACTTCTCTCTTATGTTTCATTATATATTACCTATAACCAATAGAAAGTCAAGGTTTTCATCTATCAAATGACATATTGTATAACTTTATGTTCTGAACAGTTAAATGTCAGTTTCATTCAGAGTACAAACATTGTTCTCGCAGGAAAGTTAACAACTAGCTCAGATGAATTTGTAATGGCTCTTGTCGATTAGTTAGAAAGCTAGGAAAATTTTGAGAGGTAAGTGAATTTGTCTACTTTTTGCATATTATTAGGCTATATTCTTTGCTGCATTATTTAATTTAATGAAAATTATTAAGTGCATTACTATCTATAGTATAAAATATTAGGGTTAACTCTCTTTGTAAACCTGAGAGCAAGAAAAAAGAAGATTAGGTAAGTACTTTAGTTCTTGTTTTTCATACTTATTCATTATTTATTATTATAAAGTAACTAAAATAAAAAATACTGAACTTTTAAGTTATTTAAGACTAGATTAGGTAAAATAAGTAATAATGATAGTATAATTAAAAAAATTCATGAGTCATGCACACGAGCAGCTTATGGGGTATGTAATTCAATAGCATAACATGAGCTGCACATTCCCCGAGTGATTTACAACTTATAATGGCACAGATAGTAGTTAGACCTGGTTCAAAGGGCAATAAAACAATAAAATTTAATTATAAATAGATGTATAATGTTACGGATTTAGAGCTACTTATGATAAGTGAATGTAGTTTCAGGTTACAATTTGAAGTCATTCTAGAAAGTAAAAAAGGTTAATTTAGTATTATTATGATTTTTTTTTTGGTGTTTATGAGGTTGATCGAATTGACAATCCCGTTTTGAGATAGGCTAGAGAAAATAACAGATAAACTATAGTTTTACTGAAAATAAACGTTTGAAATTTAGGAGGTTTCAGGGATTACACAAAGGAAATTTGAGATTTTTGAAATGAGGAAAAGTATTTTTAATTTTAACATGAAAATTACTTTTCACACTGACTATTCAAAACAAATACTCAAAATATTATTGGACAAATATTATTTTATTTTGTTAGAAATACTTCACTAAGAAATATGACTTTTTGTATGTGAAATACTTATAATATTAACTGAAAGACTGCCAAATTTTGGAGGATATACGTGCTATATTGAAAATTAGAAGTATTAAATCTATAAAGACTAAACAAGTACAAAGAGATCATGTGGTTAGTCAGATTGTTCGAACCTGTGTTGAGGGAGCTAAGCTTAAAATAATGTTGGTAAATAGCAAAATTTTTAAAGGTTGATAATTAATGATGTGACTGGTATTTATCACTATGTTTAAGAATTGTGCAAGTATATGATGAAAAGTCAAAATTTGTAACTTGTCTATTTTTTTTATATGTTTGAAGTATTTGTTTCAGAGTGATAAATTTGTAAAATATGAGTGTCATGTTTTGTATTTTTGTAGCAATTGTTGATATTTCTTTTAGTAATTATTGCCATTTGTTAGCCGTGACATAGCAGCTCATAGATTGACTGTGAGTTTTTGATCAAATACAAACATTTAGCTTATAGCTCTGTCATTTCTTGACTGATTTGATATCTAATTATAGTTTTGGATTCAGGAGGTCAAACCCTTTTGATTGATGCATTTAACAGTGCGCAAGGTATCATAGGTTAATTTACTCTAATCCTGCCTAAAATAATTTTAGTTTGAGAGTAAGCTGGTAGAGATCCTAATTGCTGGATATACAAGACCATTTAGTTTAGGTATTCTTATTTGATTTTCTTCTGAATTAATATCTAATGACTGTTTAGTTTTTCTTAACAAGTTAATCATTTAAAGAAGATAGTTATGACAAGTTTGATTACATAACTCGGTAAGAGTTGCACCTTGTATTTGCAATTACGTTGTTGTTGAGGCTTTATTGTTGATGTCAAATTACTCAAACCTTCATATTTTTCTCGTTACCTTAACTGAGTATTGTTAAATCATTGCATCACGTAGTTTAGAGAAAATGTCAGAGACCAGTAAATAAGTTAAGAAGAGAGAAATAAAGAAGCAAAGTTCAGTCAGAAAAGGTGAAGTTAGCCAGTGTGTGAGATATTAGTCGTAACAATTGATATTATAAATGGAGGTTAACAGTTTGATTGAGATAAGGAGAATAATTTGTCTTGTCAAAGAGTGTTCTAAAGTAATTGAACCGGTCTGTGTGAACTTTTACGAAAAGAAGACAATTATTTGAAGTTCAGGATACAACTGTGATAATCCATGTGGTAGCATAAGTGGTCTTTTGACAAAAAAAAAGAGAACTGTTTAAAGTTTGATATAAAACTCTGGTAACCCATAAGGTAGCTAAAGTGAATTATTCACTAATACCATTGTGATAAAAGTAGAGAAAAATAGTTTATCTTGTCAATTGGATTCTAAAGTAATTGAACTAGCCTGAGTGGACTTTTGACAGGAAAAAGAGAACTATTTAGTGTTTAAGACACAATTGTGATATCCATAGTGTAAATAATTTTTGCAAATATGTTTGTCTTGTTTTAAATATATTATTTTAAAACAAGTGGAGTGTGCACTGTCCATTTATTGTTTAATTTATCACCAAGTCACAGGCACCTACTGTAGAAGAATCCTTAGCCCATATATTATATAAAACTCTGACACTGGTGAGTAATAAAATTGAATCAGGTATATGTGTGCCCCATGCTTGGTATTGCTGGTGCACAAAAATATAGCTAATAAAAAGGTCTCATAGATTAATTTACTTTAATCCTGCCTAAAAGAATTTCTAGTGCTGTGGCTATTGAGGATTCCTTATTGTTTCTCTTATGATTGTTTTTACTTTTACCAGTGATATTTGATATTTTTCAGTTCTTGTTGTTACTTGCAGGTTAGAATTTAGGATATAATGTGCTAGATATTTGTTTTGTGGTTGACATTTTTAAATTTTTGCCTACCTGTTGTTGATTTGTGGATTCAAATTTTTGATAAATGAATGATAAATGTTTTAAAACCTTCCTATTTTTAAAAGCTTGTTCTAAGTAATTTTGGAAATATGTAATTACAATCATTGTTTATGTATTATATGCTTATGATACATTTGTAACTAGAATTATTTGGATGTTGTCCTAATTACATGTTTTTTTTATAGTTAAGTATATTGAACAAAAACTTTGGCATTCATTCCAGGCTCTTGAAGGAGCAGAACAACTTGGATATCCTGTACTAGTGAGATCAGCCTTTGCTCTTGGAGGCCTAGGGTCTGGATTCTGTGACTCTTCGGAAGAGCTTAAAAAGAAAGTCAGACAAGCTCTATCTCAGTCACCACAGGTTTTATTGGACAAAAGTCTGAAAGGCTGGAAAGAAGTGGAATATGAAGTGGTACGAGATGCATACAATAACTGTATTACGGTAAGTCCTCATTTAAAATTAAAGCAGTCATGGTATGTGTTGTTTTAACCCTAAAATTACTGACTTGTTTTTGTACCATTCACTACTGATGGTATCTGGATGTTGCATGATAATGAGTAATGTTTTGTTTTTCACCTGTTACAGCCATCCATATAAAGAACTAACCAAAAAAATAGGATTAATTACTCATTTTCTATCTAACCCTATTGGTACAGGTATCCTTTAATGTGCATGACACAAGGTTTTATTGTCTTACATCAATAATTTTATTATACTTTTTTTTATGTTATACCACTTGGAATAGCATAAAAAATAATCCATATTTTAATAATATATAAGTTTTAAGTTCTTAATTCTACAAGACAATATTTAAAAAAATCATGAATTTCCCCTAGTGTGACTCACATGACACATTTTGTCTTAGCATGTCATCTTCCCTATTTTATCCACCACCCCTCAAAAAAAGTATGAAATTAAGTGTGAATTACTCTTTATAAAATTGTAATTGCTC